TTTTTACTCTCATAGATTTTGTTACCATTGCCATGCATTATACGACTGATAGACTGCAACGGCTGGACTTAAAAATCTTCATTTGTGTTCTACTGAAGAAACAAAGTCACCTACATCTTGGATGCCCTGGGGGTTAAGCAGATAAACATCAAATTTTCATTTTTGAGTGAACTATCCCTTTAATACAAAAGAACATACATTTCAAATTTTGTTAGCTATTGAAGGTATCCAGGCTGAACAACCACCATGTAGAACAGGGCGGGACTGGGACAAAATTTCACTCATTCAGAGATGTTCCTCACTGTAGAACACAAGATCCAGGGGGCGTGGGTGGATCCCGATCCAACTCCTCCCACCTTACATATACCTAAACCTAACTGTCTCCACCCCGATTCCCAAACCCACCAATCTCCACCCCTAAACCTACCCGTCTCCACCCCGATTCCCAAACCCACCCATCCCCAGCCCTAAACCTACCCATCTCCACCCCCTGATTCCCAAACCCACCCACATCTCCACCCCTAAACCTACCCGTCTCCACCCCGATTCCCAAACCCACCCATCTCCACCTCTAAACCTACCCCTTTCCCGGAGCTCCACCCCTAAACCTACCAATCTCCACCCCCTAGATGTGGATCCAACCACGCCCCCTGGATCTTGTGTGAGGGGTTACTGGTTCATCCAGGCCACAACAAATACACCCATACACCCACAACAAATTCTGAAACCATGGACAACACTATTTTTTGTATGGCCATCACATAAAAAAGGTTAAAATCCTTAGGCTGGGGCCGTGCAAAATAACCATATTTTCTAAATTGCCTAAATGTCAAAATTAGTACAACAATAACTACACCATGACAATATCTTAATAGAAAAATCCTAATATTGAACATGCCATTGCATTATCAAGAGTCATATTTTTCCCTTATGAAAATTAACTATGGTTTTATTATAGTAAAAGTATAGTAACCATAGTTTTTTAGTGGATTGATTACCATTTGTGTAACCATAGTTGAACTACAAATTCCATGGTTAAACTATGGTTAGTGCAGCAAAACCATTATTTGTCGTTACCTTAGTAACCATGGTTTTGGTATTATGCATGTAAAAGTAGTAGTAAAAGCATGGTTAATTTTCATAAGGGTTGTGTTGTTGTCTGCCCTAGCTCCCTCTAAACCTATCATAAAACAAACAATGTGAATATTTGTCTGCTAAATAACTACTGTAACTGTACAACAGATAATGATGTCCTTTAGCATACAGTATTTTCTGATAATCTGTTTGGATTCAGCCTAAATGCTATAGTGCATAAATGTTTGCGGGAATTTCCCACATTCTAAATGTGAAACCTGCAGTATTGTGTAGCAAATACAGGCCCTGCTTAACTAAGTAAACAAAGACAAAACTACCGTAGCCTATTTACAGATGAAACTGACCTGCACTTGAAGTCCTGAACAGATTGATAAAAGTGAATCAATGAAAGTAAAAAGTTGTCAGAAAAATAAACAGTTAAGTAAAGTAGGCTACTGATACCAGAAAAATCTACTTAAGTGTAACGAAGTATTTGTACTTCGATACTTCCCATCTCTGCCGAGCAGGGTAACAAAAGGTCAAAGGTCAGTGGCATGCCCTAGTCGAAAATTCAACCAGTCTTAAATGGCTCAAATAAGAATCTTCTAAAAGATCTTTGTCATTTCTGTCATCATTTGGAACCAATCCTAAAGAGATCAAACTAGATTCTTTAAAAATTCTACTGGATAAACTGAAGATTCCATTTTTACTTTTCACAATTTCATCTTAAGCGATCATCACATTTGATCTATTTACGACTGATATGAATCATAAATTGATTACAATTTTTTGAGCTACGAGGAAAACATTCTCAGTATTGTGATACTCCAGTAACGAATGGCTTTTATCGCTTCACCTCTGCAACAATGCAAGTGACACCTCGTTCATTCACCCCTCAAGGCTCCAAGCGCTTGCCATAAACAAATAAAACCCACCTCTCTTGTCTGCACAAGCAAACATACACACATGTGACCGGTTCTTGACCGACGGGTCAGCGACTGTATCCCTCTCATCAGTATTCTGCTGCACTAACATGACAAGGCTGGAGCAAGGCTATCCAAACATCGAGCAAAAAAAAAAAAAAACGGCCTTAGAACAGAACCATTCATAAACAGCGTGTCGAATGACTTTTACTTTGGGTAATTCATTTATTGCCTGTATTTATCTCAAGATAGCCTAGTTCTTTAGAATACTGTA